GGATAGCCCAGTATTAATGTCTGAAAATAAGCTGCTTTAAAGTCAGCATGAACCATAAACTACAACTGCTATAATGCACGGTGATCATCCATGGGAACTCCCTGTAGGAAAGTGGGAGAGTTCAGAATTCAAGGTGGCAGCTAGTCATCAGTGAGTAAAACTTTATTAGTTTTACTTTTAATAATATTTCTGTATTTATTCACCTGCTTCGGATGTTATCATCCTTGAAATGGACGTTATTAGACATTATCAGTCCCCTAGAATGGCTTCAGAAGGTCCCGCCTGTGCCGGTTAGCAGCTTCCCCGTCCCATAGAATGGCTTCTGATTGTCAGCTGGTTAGTATGAGGCATAAAACCATCTGGTTAATATGAGGCATAAAAAACTGGTTAACATGAGGCTTAAAGCCACCAAGGTTAACCGTAGAGCAGATGGCATGGCTAACACTAACCTCCGACAAATGAATATTGTGGTCTCTTAATAGGGATATGGGGAGAGTGTCAGAYTAGAGAGCGGGAGACCAGGATTTAACTCCAACACAGACRCAAAACAATTATTACAATATGTTTTGGTTATTTACACATTCATTGTCATTAATATATTAACCCACTAGGGGGCACTGTCAAGACAGTCTGAAGCCTAGARGGCACAGTAGGGACCCTCTGAAGCCATTGTATGGGACTGATAACGCCTAATAACGTCCATTTCATGGACTGATAACATCAGAATCCCCTGATTTATTTCAGATTTAGTCAGTCGTACACTTAGTTCTTATCAGTGTTTAAAAGAGGATGTGTTAAAACACTGTTTAAAGTTAAACATGAAATGTCAAAGTTAACTACAACTGGCCCTTCGAGGGCCACMATAACGCTCATGTGGCCCTCTGTGAAAATGAGTTTGACGCCCGTTTTATTCCATCTAAATGAGCTTCCACTGCTTCCATACACTCTTTGATCATTTCCAAGTCGTGAAAGACTTCGAGTTTTCCTAAAATCAAGTGTCCTCACAGTGAACGCGAATGCTCACTGTTGTTCTGTGATTATGTTAACAGTTATTGCTCATACTGTCCCTGCAGTTCATTTATTCTCCTTGTTCTACCATCAGACCCAGGCAGATAGCTTTGGTTGAGTTTCTTATTGGTTTCATGATTAGATTCCCACTCTTTATAAGTCCAACTGATTCAGAACATATGAGACAGACTGGCCTTACACCCAACAGAGGTAAAATGAAGCTTCTGTCCATTCTCTTTAAAGGAGTGATTTTATAGTGAACTTGATGTATTTTTGACAAAACCATCTTCTTTAACTCACTCATCTGTGCRTCATCAAGTCATTGTACAGCCAGCTAGCTATGTGTGAGCTCCCAACTTAGCAGCCCACTTTAAAGGACCCCCGGGATGCTGCTGACCCGCAGAGCTGCCCTGTTCAAAAGTCAGACGCTGCTGCTGGCTGATTTAACTACAGTAAATGATAAAATGCTTTGCTGTCTGGAAAAAAAGCCTCTTGGGGTCTGGATTTGGACAGGAGTCCAGCAGTTGGTGACTCCTGCTGTAGATCAAAGTGCAGAGAAACTTTATCTCCACAGATAACAGTGTTTGTCGCATTATTCAAACAGATGTCTTAATATCAGCAGTTCATTGTATACACATGGTTTTAAATAGAAGGTGTATTTATAATGCTGATATTTGATTRTACTTGTACGCTCTGCTGTGAAGAAGTCACACAGCTGGTCAGATCTAAAGAGACAAAACTGTTCATAAACTTTAAACAGTTTTTTCCACAGTTGGAAGCATTGATTGTAAACAGCTCGAACACACTGCCTGGTGCTACACACGAGAAATAAAGATAAATTTGACTTCTGTTGAAGCAAAGTGTTTTTTCCCTAAATTAAATAGAGTAAAAGTGAAACTAAGTTCATATTTTTAAACATGCCAGTAACTACATTTTGATTGGTTGTTGGTCTCCATGAGCCCGCCCCTGCTCTTTACCCTGGCCCCGTATTGTTGCTGAGTTAGCACGAGATTTTTCATAGAGAATCATCTTACATTATCAGCAGGACCCCCTCTTCAGTAGGGTTGGACATAATCGTATCGTGTGCAATTAAATGTCAGAAAAACATTAATCTATTACTTTTTGGCACTTGACGATTAATACGATTAATTAAGCATTGTTCATGCAGCACAAACATTTTTTAAAAAGTTCTGTATTTTATATCYATCAACACAATTTAAAAATTGATGTATAGCCTCAAGTCTGTAATTTTGATACTATTTGGAACAGATTTTAACAAAGAGCAAATCTTTACCACTGAACTGGTCATGTGACCAGGACATAAGGGTGTCCAGGGACTCCAGGGAATTACGGTAATTGTCAAATTAATTGTTATTGGCTAAATACCACACTAATCGTGATGAATTGTTTTGCCAATATTGCCCAACCCTACTCTTCAGGGTCACATGGAGGACTGCAACACCCTCAGAGTGGGATACCAGGGTGGTCCCCATTTTTACAAAGGGGGACCCGATAGGGGGGTCCCAACTATTGAGAGCTCATGCTTCACAGCCTCCCTGGGAAAGTCTGATCCTCCTGGTCTAAGTGTGTTTAATAGATCTGGACTGTGTTCCTAAGACAGTTTGTGGGGGGTCGTTGGACAGGACTGTCCTTTGTCTTTGACCCTATTAGTGCCGTTYATGGACAGGATATCAAGTGCAGTCGTAGAGAGGAAAGCTTCAGGTTCGGAACCCAACTATGTTAGAAAAACTTCCCGTGAACAATATTACTGTTTAATCAGTGGTGGGCACCAGCCCACTAAAGCACAARTCCGCTAATTGCGGACCTAAATATTTCATTTGCGCTTGAGCGGTCTTACTAATTTTTATAATTCATAAGTGGATTAGCGCTTTCTAAAATTAAAATGCAGTACCGCTAACAACTAATTATCTACCAGTCACCATTATGTTATACAGCAGAAGGTATGACTGTCAATGAATCACAACATGTGATCTATCCAACAGCACCCCTCCCAGATAAACACACTTATTGTGAAGGTATACATCCTTGCGGACTGTTGCTTTCGGTTACGGTTCTGATTTCCCACAATGCTTTGTGTCTGCTTACATAGCAGGAAGGCAATAGCAAAAACAGTTAACGTTTGTAATCCATACTAAAATTGTATATGTATTGATTTATTTTATTTACAATTGGAGCTCCTTTTTAAAATAAAATAAAATAAAGTTTAAACGCTGGAGCTCAAAAGCAATCGGCCAACGGTGTTACAGACTCAGGAATTATTTAAAGATGTTATGCTGGTGAAGACTGGCATCTAGTGGTCAACTGGAGCAACTACATGGAAAACGTCTTCATCCAGGTAGAAAAAATCAAAAAGAAATAATAAGTAGGTCCTCTGGATGGGTTCTTCTTTCGTTTCGTCTCTCCTGCAAGAGACTTCTTCAGTCTGAGTTTCAGGTGAACTGGAAAACTTTAAAATCCAGGCTCTTGTTTTGAAGGGAAGATACTTGTTTCCTGTTCCCCATGCTTTCTTTTCCCGTCAGTCCGTCGTGTACCCAGAATGCATCGCTTCAGTTTTCCAATAGTTTTAAAATTACTTTATTGATGCTTCTTTAATGAAAAATCTACAACAAACAAAATAAAACGACAAAGAAGCAGCCGAACTAGCAATCCTCAACAACTTTTTAATTTTTACACCAGGAGCGAAAGGTCTGTTTCAGGAAATCAGATCCTCAGCAATCAGCGGTTGAAGAATTAAGTTATAAAAGAGTTCACACACTGCTAGTTGGCAGTGTTGTGCATATATTGTAAATGAATTGTCAGCTAGTAAGTGTCAAATTGAACTTGCGCTTTAAAATTAGCTTCCGCTAGTTATTCTACGGCATGAGCTGTTTTGAAGTTGCGGACCTAAATATTTTTATAAGCGCTTTAGAAATTGCAGAGCTAATTTTTTGATTAGCGCTGCCCACCACTGGGCCACTGTGACAAAGCCACACTTTAGTCCTCTGTCATGTAAACCCGATGTAAAATAGACCAAATGTACTGTATATAATACTATATATATTACAATAATACTGTATGATTTCTCACTGTCCAGCAGCCCTCTGTTGTTATTGTCCACACTAATGTGATTTATTGTGTAGACTTGCAAGCAATAAATGCATGGACTCCAGCYTTCCCGCTTCATTTAAGATAAGATGTAGTTGTAATATTTGTTCGGACTGAAGAACATTTTTAATGTTGGGGTTAAATGAAATATTCTGATCAAACATAATACCAAGCCTTGTGTTCTGCTGGTTCTAACTTTCAATTCAACATTCAAATGTAAAGTTTAAGTTTCATACCAAATGATGATGTTGAACATCAACATGTGAACCCTAAAAACACAGAAGACAATATAAAGAGTGATCTGACCAACATGTTTTCTATTTCAGATCTGTCTGGAGTTGAACCAGGGGACACTCAGCAGTATACGCAGGTGGAAACGGCCACGAGGGCTTTGGAAATGTATCACTTCTGAAAAACCCACGGCACACTCAAGTAAGGTATAGTGACCATTCTTTATACCAGAGAATGTTCTTAGTTTTATAACTTCGGATCAGAGATACTGCTGGAGGAAAAAGAAAGGTCTACCCAGCAGGATGAGTGTTGAGCCATCAGAAAAGTCTGAGAAAGAACCTGTAGATTAAGCCTTGGTTTAATCCATTTAATAAAGATTTAATAAAGGGTTGGCAGCAGTGTGGTTTCTGGTCGTGGGACACTGGACCAGCTCTACACCCTCAGCAGGGTCCTGGAGGGTTCATGGGAGTTCACTAAACCTGTCTGCATGTGTTTTGTGGACTTGGAGAAGGTGTTCGACTGTGTCCCTCGGGGACTCCTGTGGGGGGTACTCCGGGAGTATGGGGTACCAGGTCCGTTGATACAGGCTGTTAGGTCCCTGTAGGAGCAGTGCCAGAGCTTGGTCCACATTGCTGGTAGTAAGTCAGACTTGTTTCCGGTGAGAGTTGGACTCCGCCAATGTTGTCCTTTGTCACCGATTSTATTCATAACTTTTATGGACAGAATTTCTAGGAGCAGCCGAGGTGTTGAGGGGATCCTTTTTGGTGACTTTAGGATCACTTCTCTGCTTTTTGTGGATGATGTGGTCCTATTGGCTTCATCAGATCCTGATCTCCAGCTCTCACTGGAGCGGTTCACAGTCCAGTGTGAAGCAGCCGGGATGAGGATCAGTGCCTCCAAATCTGAGACCATGGTCTTGAGCTGGAAACCGGTACCATGCCGCCTCCGGGTCAGGGAGGAGGTTCTGCCCCAAGTGGAGGAGTTATCTCGGGGTCTTGTTCATGAATGAGGGAAAAATGGAGCGGGAGATTGACTGGCGGATTGGTGCTGTGTCTGCAGTGATGCGGTTGCTGTACTGGTCTGTCGTGGTGAAGAAGGTGACGCTCTCGATTTACCAGTCGGTCTACGTTCCTACCCTCATCTATGGTCAGGAGCTTTGGGTAGTGACTGAAAGAAGGAGATCACAGATACAAGCAGCTGAATTGAGTTTCCTCTGCAGGGTGGCTGGACTCTCCCTTAGAGATAGGGTGAGAAGCTCAGTCATACAGGAGGGACTCACAGTAGAGCTGCTGCTCCTCCACGTCCAGAGGAGCCAGTTGATGTGGTTCATCTTGCTAGGATGCCTCCTGGACGCCTCCCTGGTGAGG